CAGTCTTAGAGTATGCCGCCTCATCATGGAGTCCCCATCTGAAGAAGCATATAATGAAACTGGAAAAGGTTCAGAGGTTTGCAACGAGACTCGTCCCAGAGCTACGAGGGATGGGGTATGAAGAGCGCCTGAGGGAACTGTGCCTTACGACACTAGAAAGAAGAAGGGAGAGGGGGGACATGATAGGAACGTATAAGATACTCAGAGGAATTGACAGAGTGGACATAGACGAAATGTTCACACGGAATAGTAACAGAACGAGAGGACATGGATGGAAGCTTGAAACTCAGATGAGTCACAGAGATGTTAGGAAGTTTTCTTTTAGCGTGAGAGTAGTGGGGAAATGGAATGCACTTCAGGAACAGGTTGTGGAAGCAAATACTATTCATAATTTTAAAACCAGGTATGATAGGGAAATGGGACAGGAGTCATTGCTGTAAACAACCGATGCTCGAAAGGCGGGATCCAAGAGTCAATGCTCGATCCTGCAGACACAACTAGATGAGTACAACTAGGTGAGTACACACACACACACACAAAATAAAAGTTATTTTAAAATTTTTCTTTTACCATGTATATCTTTTTAAAAAGACCAAAAATACAAAATAGCCAATTTTGTATTTTTGGAACCACTAGCCAGAACATGGTTCCCTCAGAGAGGCGAAGGGAGCAATGGCCTATGAAAACTCCACTGTTTGGGAGTAATTCATGTCTGCCATCGACGGGGGATTGGGAACCCAGAAAGGTAGGCACCCCAAAACAGACCCCCAACTGATAGAAAATTGCAACCTGAGACTGAACCAGAGGCCAAAAACTCTTTCCAAGAAAAACAAGGAAACAGGCAAATCATCTTCAACTCGACGTGCTGCTCATCAAGCTGCTCATTGTGCCCCCTCCCCCCCCCCACAGAGAGGCCACACCACACCCAAGCAAGCCATCTGCCCTCAGTTTGGACATTGAGCAATTAGAAACAAAAACCGCTGACCGGAGGGAAGGAGGGTGCCAAGGAGTCTCCGAGACTCACCCAGAAAATGGCATTTCATTACATTCAATGCTGGTTTTCTGTGGGGAAGCCCCATCGGCTCCCTGGTGTTAACTACCCAAAGAACAGTAAAAGAGCAACTTACCCGGGAGGCAGCTGCACCGCATGACTCATGACGAAGATGAGACAACTGGCTGCAACCGCCGACCCTAAGCAGCACACGACTAATGAGGGCCCGGCACATTGTGACAACATGAGCTAGAACCCTGTTCGACCTCCAAAACCGCCGTGCCTGAATGTCCGTCTAAGACATGTTCCCAAACACCGCAGCAAGAGCTGCAAACTTCTGAACATCATGGGTGCGAGGGTAGACCGCAGGCTGGCTAGACTTAATGACCCTGCGGACGACCTGAGACACCCAAGCCCTGGAACAGGAAACGAGGGATACCAAGTCAACCCAGAGCACGTCTCCGGACACAGGCTGAGTATACACAGGTAATGGCATAAAGCCACAACCGGACACAACACATGATGCACCCCCGACCTGACCAACCAAATATCGATAACCCTCGGACCCCTCCGGAAGCCCGCCGTCTCATTCTTCGCCAGAAAAGGAGATGACTGCAAGCGAACAAAACATCCAGCAGGACCATAAAGAGCAGAAGCCCCTACACCGGAGGAGGGCATGAAGCTCCCCGACCCGACCCCCAAAAGCCAAAGCCAACAAATACAATGCCTTCTGAAAGCAGTCACAGAATGAAGGGGCCACCACTAACTGTGAAGAGAGAAAGGAAAGCACCCAGTCTAAGGACCAAGACGGCTCAGGCAGCACATGAGCAGGCCAGAGGTGGAAAAATGCACGAGAAAGCTTACGAAACGGAGCAGAAGTGACATCCACCCCGAACGCAAGACTGCCAAGAGACTTCATACTGTCGCCGAGAAGAAGACCGCAGGTGGGAAACCATTAGAGAAGCCACCTACTCACCGTACAGATTGTGGTACACATTCGTCAGTAATACCAGACGCGAACTGCGGAAGAGCAGAACGAACCAGCAAGAAACCTCACCGGCCCAATCTTCTGAAAGAGGCGGAGCCACGGAAAACACCAGAGTTCAGACACTGAGCAAGCAGCGCCTGAACTAGGCTGGGCCATCCACCATGGGGCCAGAAGAACCCTTCCCTGATAGGAATCAAACTGAGCCAAACCTCCGAATTAACAGCTGAACCATGGGAAGAGGTACAGGTAACCCTACCTCAACCAGTCCTGCCGAAAAGCGTCTCCTGCGACGTCTTCATAGTCGTGGAAGGGTGCCACATAGACGGGAAGACGCCTTGACTACGCCACAGCGAAGAGGCCCACCTCTGGGGGCCCAAACGTCCGGTAAACCCAACTGAAGGAGTCGGCGTCAGCCGTCCATTCCATGGACACGCCCCTGATATGAACCATACAAAAAGCTAAACCCCGAGAACTCAGCAGAGGAGCCACTCAAAGCGACCAGCCCCAAAGAGCCAAGGAATGCAAAGACATCCCTGCAGTTCAGGCAATAAACCACCAGAACTCAGTCTAAATGGAGCTGGATCGTAGAGCCTTAAGGGTGCTGGATCCGATGCAGCAAAAGCCACACCACCACAAACTCCCACACGAAGTTGTGAGCCAGAAGGAAAGACGGAGCCCACCAACCCTGGTTGGCCTGGTGAGCACTGGTCACAAAGCCCCAGCCGAGAGACGAGGCATCCAAGAACACATCGAGCAAGGGCTCCTGAAGGTGCCAAGACACCGAACCCCGAAGAGTCCGAAGAGGAAGCCGGAGATGCAGAGGGACGAATCCAGCGATCGTGAGAAAGGCAGAAGGGACGACCCCGAAAGAACCAGAACAGATGCCACAACCAAACCCAACCCAGCGGGTAAATAATAACAGCAAAGTTCAGACTCCTGCACAGCTGCCTGAGCAACCCTGGACCCCCTCAGAAACAGCCAATGGCAGGACTGCAGCTGGAGCAACACCACCTGAGGAAGAGACAAGGATGCTGTCTGGGAATCCCAGACAAGGCCCAGCAAAGTCCAAACCTAAGATGGAACCTGATGGGATTTCCTCCAGTTCACCAGGAACCCAAACCCAATGAGTTGGGAAAGAACCAAACCCCTGGAGAGCAGACAAGCGGATTGGCTGGGAGCCCAAACCAACCAGTCGTCAAGGTAGGCCAAAACCCGAACACATAGCAGATGCAGATGGACCACCACAACCCAGGTAAGATGCGTGAAAACATGAGGTGCCAGATTCAGCTCGAAAGAAAGGCAATGAAAGCAGTGCATGCTCTCATCCTTCCAGGAAGCGCGAGAGCATGCACCCCGGAAAAGCAACAAATCCGAAGGAGGACGGCAACTAGCAGAAGCCCCCTGCCAAAACTGAGTAACAAAAGAGCCCGCAAACAACAGCGGACAAAACGAAGATGAAAATCTAAGAACCAGGGGCCCAAGCAGAATCAACCGAGAGAGTGAGAACGGCCTGCCGACACATAAGGCAAGAGGCGTAAAACAGAGACAGCACCTTCCAGAGGATAGGTGCATACAGATTAAGACACGCCACCAATGCCTTTGCCGCTGAGGTCAACACGGCAGACGATGGCCCAGCACTGGATGCCTTCACATCATCCACAAGCCAGTCAAAAGACAGCTCAAGAAAGAAAAAAAAGCAGAGGGACTGAGGCCAAATATCTGCGAGCAGGAAAATCCTCCACAACCAAAGCAGCCAAAAGAGATGGGACCTGGGCATGTAACTGGAGCAAGCCAACCTCACGAAGAAGCACAGCGGTTCGTAAAGGCACACATTAAGGTGCTCAAAGGCGCCCCCTTAGTAAACTGTCAACACCGTATTAAGCTCTTGCCACTCAAACATTTGGGAATGATAGAACATGTACCACGCACCAAGAGAAAAGAAAGGGCAGTCTGCAAGCCAGGAAGATGCCGGAACCTCATAACGCACCCAATACGGGGAAGACCCGAACTCATATGAGATAGAGTCCATTACAGAGGAAAAATCCGGGTCTCGGGAAAGGTAGGCACTGAGGCCTCCCAAACCTCCTCAAGGAAAATCCGAGAGGTAGAAAACCTCTGGAAGGACGAATCTGCGGAACCCAAGGGAACCCGGAAACGATACGATTTGAAAGGGGGGGAGGGGGTTGACAAACCCATATCAAATTCGTACAAAAAATTCTGAACATTGCAACAGCAGACCCTACCCCGAGGGCACCAAAGCACAAGCAGGATCGAACGGGGCCCAAGCGCCCCAGGCCGACTCCCCCAGCCTCGGAAACCTTCAAACCAGGCTCTGGGGCAAAGGGGCGATCTCTCTTTTATTGGGGTGAATGAGTGGCGTGCATCAGGTTGATGACAATGTGCTTGTTTCCTTGTTTTTCTTGGGAGGTGTTTTTGGCCACTGGTTCGATCTCAGGTTGCAATTTTCTACCAGTAGGGGTCTGTTTTGGGACACCTACCTACCAAAATGAATATATACAGTGAAGATCTTTAAGCTGGCAGTTCAGTGTGGTCATCATATGTGATAGAGGACAGTAACTCAAGTCTATTTGACTGACTAATTTTGTGGCCTCTTATGACTACTGGGAGACATCAATGAGCAATTGACACCATATAGGCAACATTGGTATTAATGCAAGACGATAATGATGACCACATTGCAGAAGTGCTAGACTATCAAAACATGATAATAATTGCACCTAAAGGGTTAAAGTTAATTTCCTTACTTTAAAAGAAAGTTAGTTATTCCAAACATTCCAGACCCGTCATTTCTTGGAAACAAATCCTTCACTTGTCAATAACATATTAAGTAGAGAACATTTTTATTTATGCTTTATTTTCCAAAGCTACTTGTACTCAGTTTCTTAGCCAAGCTTCATGCATGCAATAAAACAAGCAAGTACAAATGACACAGAGGAACAACAACAGTTGCACGAACATATAAGAATGGAATGCTCTCTAAATTGACAATAATTAACTTGCCCTTTTTCAGTAGCTTGTCACAAAAGATCAGTGCTTTGTTTTTTTCTTCTTCTGTAGTTTAGCTTCGTTTATGATAATCTCGGCAAACTCTTCAACCTTGTTTTCCTGTGAGCAATTCCAAAACATTTGCAAAAGTCCATTTCCCTCTACTAGCTCACTTTTCATCACCTGCAAACATTTGAAGATAGATTTTAAACACAGATAGATTTTAACTTGTAACATTCGTATTTGAACTTCAACACCAATAGTACTGCAGCTCATTTTTTTATTTGCCATAACGTACAAAATCTGGGGGATTGAAATGCATGAACCTATGCCACTTACCTAGCCTAACAAACTTATGCATAGAAAATGTGGATATTTGTGAGCCATTACTTGTGATATTTGTGAGCCAAATGCTGTACCAGCATTCCTGTCCTCTTCAGTGGTGTCTGACAACTTGAAGGAAATCCTACCCGAGCACCTAGTTCAACAGGCAGGGGTACATGATCCCAGCTTCACAGACTGCACAACCAAATGGGTCTCTCTCGCAGGACCAGCACCCCAACCACCGCCTTCTGAAGCCCATAAACAATCCAGCTGGGATCACCCGATTGCCGACCAAGAAGCTGCGACTTTGCTGGAAGCTGCGACAACACCACATGACACTGCCCAACTTAAGAGCTGTGGCAGCTCCCCGTGCAGGTGACTTCCTATTAGCAACCCCAATGTCAGCAACTGGCACCCATCTCACACTGCAGACCCTCCGAATTGCCGTGGCTCTCCGCCTAGCTGCCCCAATCCATACCGAATACAGGTGTATTCGCGGCGAGGCAGAGGCCGACAGGTACGGACAGCATGGCCTTCTCTGCCAAAGGACAGCAGAATGGCATGCAAGACACAGCGAGGTTAACGACATTATTAAGAGAAGTCTTACCACAGCTAGTTGTCCAGCAGAGAGAGAGCCCCGTTACCTAATGTCCCGCAACTCTGATGAACCTGTCGGTCGCTCAGACAGAATCACGATGAACCCCTGGGAGAATGGTAGACAGTTGGTGTGAGACTAAACTTGCATTTCAACTTTAGCCAACACCTATGTTGACTTCAGTGCTACACAAGCAGGAGGAGCTGCCAATCACCGTGAAGCAGCCAAGTCACGTAAATACAGAGACCTTGAGCACCACTACAATTTTGTCCCCATTGCCTCAGAAACATTTGGTGCCTGGGGTAAAAGTTCTGCTAGTTTTTTGAAGGAGTTGGGTTCCAAGCTAATCAAAACAACTAGAGACCCTAGAGCTGCCAGTTTTCTCTTTCAGCGCCTTAGTGTGGCAATCCAGAGAGGAAATGCTCACTGCATCCATGGTTCCTGCCACCCATCTGAGGAGCTGGAGGAGCTATACAACTTGTGACAAGTAGTCTTGTACCCTGCATGTAACCAATGTTGTAACCCTTTTTCTGTAATGAAATTTTAAAATAAAGTTAGATATATATATATATACACATATACAAAATGAATAGGGGTGGTAGGAGAAGATAATATCAAAGTGTTCAGTGAGGATCCACAAGGTCTTCTCTGAGTACTCTTTATTTTCTTCTCCGAGGCTATGGTCCATACACTTGCACCAGAGGTGGCCTTAAACCACTCAGCCATCAGTGACTGTACAAAAGACAGTGATAGCCGAGGCTATTTGAACAACCACCCAAACGGCACTTTGATGGTAATCCTGGGCATAGCTATTTCATCAAATAACCTCATTTTTGTGGGGCCATGTGAGCAACACAAATGCAAACAAGCTTGAATGATCCCTAAGCATATATGCAACTGAAAACTCCAGTTTTCAGTTGCATATATGTCAGGAGCAATATGCTCATTGCTCCTGGTGGTCCGGGCTCGAGTTACGAACTTAACCCTTAAACTGCGCATGGCGTATATATATGCCATAAGTAACATGTCCCATGGTGCACATGGTGTAAAAAAAAATCGTGGGCAATATTCTCCGGTGAGAGTCACAGTACTGTTGGAGCAACCAAGGCTGGCGCACGCAGCATGAGCGAACAGCATTGCTGTTCAGCTTGTGACCACAGCATCGCTGAAAAATATCAAAATAAATATATAACTGTTATTATTTAGTGATGACAGTATTACAGATGACCTCTGACTGTGATAAAACTGACCGGATTTGTGATAATAGCAGGATTGTTGTGATAATTAGCGCTTTGGGAGGAGTAATGCTGAGGGACGGAGGGAGATAGCATCGTTTACTGACTGTGTGGGCACCTGTTATTGTCTGCATTCACCATACCAGCTCAGTGGTTCTCTGTGGTGAACACAAATGTAGATACTTATATATAATGTGTGTATTAGTGTAATAACAGCAAAAGGATTATGTTGGGAGGAGCCATTTGGGTAAAGGAGGTGGCGTCATCTGCATGACTTGTCTGGCTGTGTGGAAAGTGGCCACTATGCTCTTTGGGCACCCTACAAGCTTATGTGTATAGTGCATACAATACCGTGTCAGACAGGTGTTTGGGAGCCAGATGCGTACACCACCCATGGTTGCTCACTCAGAACTCAGCCAGCAGCCCTAGGGCATTCTGGGAATTTTTTTCAAGATGGCTGCCTCTCACTGGAGGTCCTAAGAGTCCATTTCGTACACAACCAACCTCACACACATTTAGAATGGGTACGAAAAAATCAAAGAGAGTTTTCTCGGTTGGCGCAGTTTCCCGCCGACCGAGAATACTCGGTTGGTGCAGTTAAGTGGTTAAGGTGAGCAGGGGTTGTTTTGAGAAATTTAGAAAAAGAAGTGGCATTCATAGTGTTGTGAAGCATGGGGAGGCTGCCAGCTCAGACAAACCAGCGGCTGAAAGATTCATTGGCGAATTTAAAGATTTTGTGCAGAGTGAGGTATACCTACCACAACAAGTGTTTAATTGTGACAAGACAGGGCTATTCTGGAAAAGATTGCCAAAGAAAACATACATTACCAAGGAGGAGAAGTCATTGCCCAGACACAAGCCTATGAAAGATCGGTTTACTCTTGTGTTGTGTGGTAATGCGAGTGGCGATTTGAAAATTTAACCCTTGCTTGTGTATCATTCCGAAAATCCAAGGGTTTTCAAAAAATATAATGTGCAGAAACACAAAATGTGTGTGATGTGGAAGGCTAATGCTAAGGCATGGGTGACTAGGCAATTTTTTACCGAGTGGGGTAAATGCACCCAGTGGGTGCATGACGTGGTGTACCCTGCCATCAAAAAATATTTGCAGAAGAACAGTTTGCCACTCAAGGCCCTGCTTCTCCTCGACAATGCTCCTGCCCATCCTCCAGGCTTGGAGGATTCATTGATGGAGGAATTTAGTTTTGTTACAATAAAGTTCCTTCCTCCCAACACCACTCCTCTACTTCAGCCTATGGACCAGAAAATCATTGCCAATTTTAAGAAACTTTATGCAAGGGCACTTTTCCGGAGATGTGTCGAAGTGACGGATGCCACACAACTCGCCCTCAAAGAGTTCTGGAAAAAACATTTTAACATTTATAGTGCTTTAAAACTTGTTGACAAAGCCTGGCAAGAAGTGACTGTCAGAACCATGATCTCTGGCTGGAGAAAACTGTGACCTGAATGTTTTGCAGAACGAGACTTTGAGGGGTTTGAGCCTGAACCTGAAGTGCCTCTTGTTGAGGAAATTGTTTCTCTGGGTCGGCAATTGGGTTTGGAGTTGAATGGTGCTGATGTGGAGGAGTTGGTGGAAGAACACAACGAAGAACTCCAAGCCCTTCAAAAGGAGCAGCAAGAAGAGGCAGCTGAGGATCCTTCAGGGGAGGATGTGCCAGTACAGAATGTCCCTTCCTCAACAATTAAGAATATGTGTGCAGCATGGGAAGAATTGCAAACCTTTGCTGAAACGACTCGCCCAAATCAAGCTGCAGTAGGCCGTTGCCTTAACCTATTCAATGACACTGATGCATCACTACAGACAAATGTTAAAACGAAGGGAAAAACAAGTGTCTCTTGACAAATTTATAGTGAAACAAACAAGCAGTGAACCACAACCAGGTCCTAGTGGTATTCAGGCAAAACATAGGAGAGAGAGTACCCCAGAGAAAACATCACTGCCTGATGTGATAATGGAATGGGACTTCCCTTCCAAACTAGTAACAACTCCCCTCCTCCCCCCTCATCACCATCTTCCATACGCCATCAAGAGTCCTCCATAAAGGTAAGATAAACATATGTACTATAATGTAGTTAGATAAAAAAACATTGTATTCAGTATAAAATGTATTTGTAAGATAATATTTTGGAGGGTGGGGAACGGATTAATTCAATTCCCTTTATTTCTTATGGGAAAAATCGCTTCGACTTACGATCCGTCTCTGGGAACGGATTACCATCGTAAGTTGAGGCCCCACTGTACATACACAAAGATGACAAATAAAATTCCAGATGAGCAGTTGGACTTAAGGATGCAAACAATAGTGTTTACATTCAATGAATCACAAGGATGTAAGGAAAAATGTGATAAAGTAACATGCAGAAAGAAATGAACGAAGAAGCGGCTGAGTCAATTCAATCCACAGCTTCAAAACCAAATAGTGGAGTTGTGGGAAATCGAGATCAAACTTGTGTTATACCAGAAACCCAGAAGTGAGACAGCAGACCCAGGAAGCCAATCCTCACTAGCCTCAAGCACATGTATGTAATAACATAGGCAAGAGTCTGAATGTTACCCAATAGAGCAACAACACAAAGAGAAAAGTATAATCATCCTCTTCCAAAGGCTATAAAATATGTGGTGATTTATAGAGCAAAATTTTATTTGTGCAACAGCAAGGCTCACCTCAGAGTGGTACTCGGAAGGGCAGAGAGGACGACACTTGTAGTTTCTGCTGCCTTTATTTACGTAATGATCCAATGTCAGACGGTACACAAAGCGATTGTAGCGTTTTTCATCCATACAGTTACTATCCCAATCTTGGTTTTGAATCTGACGCAAGAACTGTGGTGACAGCACAGGAACCACAAAATCAACCTATTGAAAATTTAATTAATTTCAAATTAGAATACTGAAAAACAATAATAAATAGTAAATAATAATCATAATCATCATCATAATAATATTAATAATAATAATAATAACAATAATAATAATAAAATTAATAATAATAAATAAAAATTACCCATATTTGCACAATTTGCTACCACCAATTCAATTTTTCTGCAGCTTTGACAAATTTTATTTAAAACAAAAAACTGGACCTCGATATTAAACCACACCCTGGAGTCAAGACTTCATTTTATAATCCCACCTCAAAATAACTCTTGTTATCAGGGACAGGAAGCCTGTACTTAGCATTATCAAGGTTCCTTAGTCCAACTGTTGGAAATTTCCAACACTGACACACTACCATTGTATTATAATACATCATTATTGTATACTAATTACAGTAAATATTAATTCTACTAACTGTAGTGCTAACATAAATTAATATTTCTTTATCTGAGCGTATTGCTAACATTCTCACGCCATCGAGAGGCAGTATTGCGTCAGATAATGTCTATCTAAGCATATTTATTACCAATATGTTCGAGAATTGAATGTGGTTCTCTAAATTTATCAGTATTCCGTGCAATAATTTACTACAGATAATATAACTCCTAATAATCCAAAAACCGAGAGTTATCAACTCAGATTATCACCAAGTAACAGTTTTAACTGTCACGTACGAATGCTATGGAGGAAATAAAATTTCTCTCCATTTCTCGATTAACACCATTTAACGAGAATATGATGATATTTAATTCCCTACAATTGCAATCCTGTTCTCATTAACGTATTACATCAGTAATTACACGGAAAAGAATTATCCGTGATTATTAAATTCTATTGTGAACGCGTGAGACGGGCTGAGGGAGAGAGGCGGAGAGACGCCATTCGCCATGAGGGCATTTGCCACTAAGCACACGAGCTAGCGACGCCAACAATCACATCATGCGTCCCGGGAGTCGAATTCCATCAATTCTACGTTAGGCCCTTGCAGTTAATCGGCCTAGGAGCGTGCAATTGCTCCAGTAGCAATCTAGGAATGCTTCGGTGGACAACCAGCAGGTTAAGTGCCCTAGTATTGTATATATTGAGTACTCCTTTTAAATTTTATTGTGCACTGTCCATCGTTACACCACGCGACCTTCCCAAACAACATGTATGAGAGTAGTCAAACCATGCAACACTACATGTATGTGAGTCAAAACACCCATTTCACTTATGGTAAAAGGAGAAATGCTTGGAGTGACTCTGTGTACATGCGGCTCAGGCTTGGGTACAAATATTACTGGGAATATGGGATAGATGTTCATGGTAATGACACGAAGTGTAAACTATGTGGTATGTTAAGGTCTCACACCCTTGCCCATTATATTCTTGATTGTCCGTTGATTAGTGTATATAGAAACACTGAGATAAGGACTGTTCCTGAACAAATAGCCTGGATGTGTCACAACGGAAAGGTTGATGATATTCTTGAGAGATATAAGAATTTTGCACCAAGATTGTAATATTTTGTTGAATTATCTGCAGGTGTCTTGCAAATTGTCTATACAGTATACCTAGGTCATAAAAGTATTTGTGTGTACGTCTGATACCATACTACTTGTGAGGGAGGAAATGTATATTTTTACCTCTCAGAATGTTTGGTAATATGTTTATTTGTGATGTGTGTATATGTATATATTAACACGTTGTACTGAACGGGGTGAGAATAGCTTGAGCTACCTCATCCCTTTGTGTGTATTTTACCTCAATAAACTTATTTCAATTTCAATTTCAATTTCAATTCCCAAACAATAAGTACGTCCACAAGGAATTAATTTTATTCCTTCTATGGCATAGTGAGGATACAGGATAGTAGGTGTAAACAATTGGTATATTTAGTTGAAATTTCAGCTTGTGTTGAAAGCGGTCGTGGTCCTCTCATGTTCCCACGCCATGCTCGAGCTCACGTGTTGCAGCAAGCAGCAGACGACGCCATCGCACCTCTACCTCTCCGTTCACTATTACAACTAAGCAGCTGAACCCTTTTCAATTATTTTCTTTGATTGAGTGAAATCAATAATCGATTATCAGTCAAGGATATTTAGTTTATTTGACTTGAGATATCTAACGTAATTGATAACCTCATTAAAGTCAAATGAGAATAATTTCTTGTTTCATCAACATATAATCTTCTTACCATTAATCAATTTATCTAATGTTTACTAACATATAATTTAGTAGGAATTACTAATTTTATTCCAGGAAGAACCAGCCTCGATGAAGCGTACTGGGAGTAGATTACTTCTGGTATTAACCCCCCATTTTGTGAAGGACGGAAAGATTATTTTCGAACATTAATATATCATACAGTCCATTGAAGTTTAAAGAATAACCTTTAATAGTTTCCTTATCCATAGGCACTGGTATTTCAGTCCTTATCATTTATCTTTACCTGTTTCCCTTTTCAGTAAAAAAAGGGTGGTCATTCGATTAATTTAAATTAATCTATTAATTAAATATCAATCAATTAATAGAGAGTAAGCTTTCTTCCCAACACCAACTACTAACCTTACCCAAGACACAACCAACAACAATTGCTTACTCCTAGGAACCTATTTTACTAGTAAGTGAACAGAGGCCTGAGGTGAATGGAAATGTTGACAACTATTTCTGTCCTGTACAGGATTGAATCCAAATCCCTTGGTCGTGAGCTGAGGACATAGACCACTGTCCTACAGTTGCTCTTAACATAAAGAGATATGTATTGCATTAACTGCTATTTTATGGGTTAATAAAACCAGCGTTTAATGTAATGAAACGCCATTTTCTGGGTGAGACCCGGCGGCTTCCCGGAGCTATCCAGGCTGATATGGATATATTAGATTTCTGGCATCAGTCAATGTGCATGGAGTTCTAGGACTACCGGGGACCAGAACCTGGGACTACAAGCCAGAACCTGGCCCCCTCAGAGAGGCACAACAAGCAATGGTCTATAGAAACCCCCGTGTGGTTGGAAGCATTCTAGGTCTGCCATCGACCGGGTCAGGTGCCCAAGAAGGTAAGTGTCCCAAAAGAAACCCCTATTCTGGTGAAAACATTGCTAGAAAGAGTCAAACGAGTAGACAGAACTCGCAAATCAAAACAAGCAAACTAGCATGACGTCACTAGATTGCTGCGCTGCTGTCTGCGCAATCCTGCCCCCTACCCGGGAAGGGGAAGGAGGAGCCCTAGACCTTCACGCTTGCTACCCACCCTTTGGTTCTTAAGGCTGGATGTCAAAAACTGCTGACCGGAGGGAGGCCTGCCGGAGAGCCTCCGGGTCTCACCCAGAAAGTGGAGTTTCATTAGATTCAACGTTGGTTTTCTGGGGGGAGCCCCGTCGGCTCCCCGGAGCTAACTACCCAACGACAAAAACAAAAACAGGTACTTACCCAGGAGGCAGTTGGCCCTCGCTCCTCAACTTGAAGTCGAGACAACTGGCTTCAACCGCCGACCCAATGTGACAGAGGTCCTACGAGACCAAGGAACATCAACAAGGTAGCGAGCGGCCTGGACCCTGTTCGAACTCCAAAAACCCTGTGTTCGAATGTCAACCCATGACATGTTACCGAAAACGGCAACCAAGGCAGCAAATGTACAAAGGTCGTAAGCAAGAAGATAGACCACAGGCTGGCTAGACCTGATAACCATACCTTGAGGTTACCTTGAGGTGCTTCCGGGGCTTAGCGTCCCCGCGGCCCGGTCGTCGACCAGGCCTCCTGGTTGCCGGACTGATCAACCAGGCTGTTGGACGCGGCTGCTCGCAGCCTGACGTACGAGTCACAGCCTGGTACGTCATGCGGACAACCTGGGAAACCCATGCCATGGAACAGGGAAAAAGGGAAACTGAGTCAACCCAAAGTGCGTCCACAGCTACCAAAGCTATGGCGCGCAGATAACGGCAGGGAGCCGCAACTGAACACAACACATGATGCACCCACAACCCGACCAACCAAGCATCAACAACCCAATGACCCCTCCGGAAAGCTCCTTTTCTGACTCATTCTTCGCCAGAAAAGGAGACGGCTGCAAAGGAACAAACCTACCACCAGGACCAAAAGAGCAGAAAGCCCCTGCGCCGGAGGAGACAATGAAGCTCCCCAACCCGACCCCCAGAGGCGAATGCCAACAAGAAAGGAGCCTTAAAAAAACAAGCCTGAAGCGAAGGGGCCACTATAAACCGAGAAGAGAGAAAAGAGCACCCGGTCCAACGACCAAGACGGCTCAAACGGAGCATGAGCAAGCTGAAGGTGAAACAACGCACGAGACAGCTTTCGGAATGGAGCAGAAGTAACATCAATACCATGCAGAAGTAACATCAATACCGAACGCAAGCTCCATCGTCGCACGATACGAGGTGACAGTATTCGGTATATGATGACGATCCTGAAACAACCACGCAAGAAAGAACAAGACAACCCTATCAGAGACCGTAGTACACCTACGCAGAGATAGGAAATAACAAAAGAACTGCCAGGATACTTCATACTGCCGCCGAGACGAAGCACGCAGGTGGGGAAACCATCAATGAAGCCACCTGTGCACCATACACGTGATGATTGACGCAAAGACTCGAGGAGAAGGGCAAACCAGCCACGTACTGGGCCAGACTCATCTGTTGAAAGAGGCCGAGCTGCGGGAAGACCCTCGGGTTTGGACACTGAGCAAGCAGTGCCTGAAACCAAGGCTGGGCCGGCCACCAAGGAGACAAGTTATCTTATCTTGAGGTTATCTTGAGATGATTTCGGGGCTTTTTAGTGTCCCCGCGGCCCGGTCCTCGACCAGGCCTCCACCCCCAGGAAGCAGCCCGTGACAGCTGACTAACACCCAGGTACCTATTTTACTGCTAGGTAACAGGGGCATAGGGTGAAAGAAACTCTGCCCATCGTTTCTAACCGGCACCTGGGATCGAACCCAGGACCACAGGATCACAAGTTCAGCGTGCTGTCCGCTCGGCCGAC